ATGTGACCTCTTGCCCATTCTCGGTTGCTGCATCAAAGCGGACACCACTGTTTTGGTTGGTGCTCTTTTTATCTTGGGCGATCGTGTAAAATGTATTCCCATTTATCTCGTACCCTTGGAAAGTCGTTATAGTCGAAGATGGTGTCTTGGCCAACATGTACAGCTGATCTACAACATCATTGTCATTCATTAAATGTTTTCTCAACCAACTGCCGAAAGTCTCCATGTGGGCCTTCCTAATCCAGGATTCAGGCTTCCCCGGGTTGTCAGAACGTAAAATATTCTTGTGTTTCTCAAAGTACGGAGCCACCAAGCTGGAATTGGTCAGTACAGTGTGGTGTGCTTCAGTCAGAGAATGGCCGTCCATACATATCGTTGATTTCCTTCCGATCGTGCCTTTTCCACTTAGTCTCCCCTCGTGCCGCGATCAAGGAAGACCAATCGGCTTAAGGTCAGGAACAAAGTTAACACAAAACTCAATTACCTCCTCATTTCCATAGCCCTTGGCGATGCTTCCTTCTGGCCTAGCACGGTTACGAACATATTTCTTTAATACTCCCATGAACCTCTCGAAGGGGAACATATTGTGCAGAAATACAGGACCGAGAACGAAAATCTCTTCGACTAGGTGAACCAGGAGGTGCGTCATAATATTGAAGAAGGATGGCGGGAACACCAACTCGAAACTGACAAGACATTGGATCACATCGTTCTGTAACCGTGGTAGAACTTCTGGATTGATTACCTTCTGAGAGATTGCATTGAGGAATGCACATAGCTTCACAATGGCTACTCGAACATTTTCCGGCAGGAGCCCCCTCAAAGCAATCGGAAGCAATTGCGTCATAATCACGTGGCAGTCGTGAGACTTCAGGTTTTGGAACTTTTTCTCCGCCATGTTTATTATTCCCTTTATATTGGACGAGAATCCAGACGGGACCTTCATACTGCTCAGGCATTCAAAAAAGATGACCTTCTCTTCTTTGGTCAGAGCGTAGCTGGCACGACCTTGAAACCATTCCGGATGCCGGTCATCAGGGTCTTTCAAACGTTGCTGGTCCTGCGGTGCTTCCTTTGTATCATTTGTCTTCCCATACACGCCCAAGAAGCTTAGGAGGTTCGCGCAAATATTCTTCGTAACGTGCATCACGTCGATTGCAGAGCGGACATCTAGGACTTTCCAATATTCTAGCTCCCAGAATATAGATTTCTTCTTCCACATGGCTGCGTGCCCGTCAGCTCCCTTCGGAACTGATTGTCCGCCAGGACCCTTTCCAAAGATGACTTTCAAATCCTTGACCATATCAAATACCTCAGCACCAGTGCGTTCCGCAGGCTTCGGCCGGTGATCTGCCTTGCCGTTGTAATGCTTGCCTTTCTTTCTTACTGGATGAATTTTCGGAAGAAATCGACGATGCCCAAGGTACACGTTCTTCTTACAATTTGGCAAATGTACACTTTCAGTCTCATGTAAGCAGTGCGTGCATGCATTGTATCCCTTATTTGACAGTCCCGAAAGGTTACTAAGAGCAGGCCAATCGTTGATGGTTACGAAAAGCAACGCTCGTAGGTCAAATTCCTCTTGTCTGTGCTCATCCCACACACGGACACCACCCCACAGCTGTAAAAGTTCATCAACTAATGGCCTTAGGTACACATCGATGTCGTTGTCGGGTTGCTTCGGACCTTGGATGAGCACTGGCATCATAATGAACTTCCGCTTCATGCACAACCAAGGAGGAAGGTTGTAGATGCATAGAGTCACGGGCCAGGTGCTATGGCTGGAGCTCTGCTCGCCAAAAGGATTCATGCCATCCGTACTTAGAGCAAATCTTATGTTCCTTGCGCCAGCTGCAAAATCTTTGAACCATCTGTCGATCTTTCTCCATTGCGTTCCATCTGCGGTGTGTCTCAACTCCCCGTCCGACTTACGGTCCTCTTTGTGCCATCGCAACAACTTGGCATGCTCTTTGTTCCTGAACAGACGTTTCAACCGTGGTATTATAGGAGCATACCACATCACCTTGGCGGGAACCCTCTTCCTGGGTTTCTGGCCCTCAACATCGTCACCAGGGTCATCGCCTTTGATCTTATAACGCAATGCAGTGCATACCGGGCATTCATTCAAATTCTCGTATTCACCGCGGTAGAGGATGCAGTCGTTGATGCATGCATGTATCTTCAGAACCTCTAAACCTAGAGGGCAGACAACCTTCTTTGCTTCGTACGTACTGGCGGGCAACTCGTTATCCTTTGGAAACATATTCTTCAACATTTTCAGCAAGTTTTCAAATGCCGAGTCAGCTACACCTGCCTCTGCCTTCCATTTCAGCAAATCCAGTGTGCAGCCCAGCTTTTTCAGACCATCATCGCATCCGGGGTACAGCGCCTTTCTGTGATCCTCTAACATGCGATCCAAATTCTCCCTCTCCTTTTCAGTTTCGCAGCGTCTCCGTGCATCAGCAATGGTCCGACCAAGATCATCAACGGGATCATCACGTGCCTCTTCTTCACCTTCCCCTTCACCTTCAGCATCCTCCATGAAAGTATCACCGAAATGAGCAAGATAGCTTTCATCGATGAAATCATCCCCTTCTTCATCTTCTTCCATTATAACCCCTCTTTCTCCATGCTTGGTCCAACAATTATAGCTTGGCATGAAACCGTGCCGAAGCAGATGCATGTGAACATCTCTTGAGGAAGAGTAACCCTTCTGATTCTTACAGATAACACATGGACAGATAACAAAACCCCCCTGCTTGTTCGCATTAGCCGCTACGAGGAAATCTTTCAAACCCGTAGTGAACTCGCCGGAGAGTCGGTTACCGTACATCCATTGCCGATTCATCTGCATTATTATAATATAAAATATATAATTAACCATCATGCATTTGTTAAACTAACTAGCTACAAACAATATAAATTAAACAATGAACTGCACACATGCATATTTTATCAATGACACATCAAAGGTTCATCAAGTTGCTAACCGCGATCGAGGAGTGTGGCTCCAACACTTCATGTCATGTTCGTTTCATGCTCTTGGGGCATTTCATCAAACACCTTATGTGCATAAGAGGAACCAAAAGCAAACCTACACCCACTTGTGAAGAGAATGGCTCCAAATGGCTAAGTGTTGGCTGCTGGATGGGTATATATAGGGGAGGGGCTTTAGTTGCGGTTGGCCTGGCAAACCGTGACTAAAGGTGCCCGAAGGCCTTTAGTCGCGGTTGTCCTGGCCAACCGCGACTAAAGACCCTCACGTGCGCCAGCTGGCCACCGAGCGCCCTGGGCCCAGGCCTTTGGTCGCGGTTCACCTCCAGAACCGCGACTAAAGGTCCCATTAGTCGCGGTTCCTACAGCTTCGCGACTTATGGGGCTGGACGGAAGCCTGTTTTTCCACCAGTGGCATGTATTACACACTTCATTTTTTATGTATATGAGAGTTAAATCACGACTAGCCACCTCCTATCACGACGAAGCGTTTGCTGGAGGGGCTTCCAGTGGCAGCCCGGACGGTGATCGCTCGTTGTGGAAGCTCATATGGCATGCTTATATTCCGCAAAAAAAGAAAATAATAGTCTAGAAAGCTTCAGTCGATGGACCATCTACGATGTTGGGTGAAGTGGAGCATCATATTGGTGCTCGCGCTATGTGTCCAATCCTCGGAGTTGAGGATGAGTCAAGCTTCCATGCGCTTGTCACTTGTTGTCACACCCCCGGAGCTGTGGGGGTGTATATATGTGGGAGGTGTGGCCGCTCCCCCCGTTGGAACGCTCCAACATACTGGTAGGGATTGGCTTCTGTTAGTATTTGATGGCTGTTCGGCAAACACTAGAAGCATGATCATTCTGCTCTTGAGGATTTAGAATTTACGGAATGATATAGTCCATGGTAAGGATTCTTCTCCAGCAAAAGTTTGGTTTGTATTTTTGCAAAGTTATTGGTGGTCCCCTGATAATGCTCACAAGTACTCGTCGAGGAAATACTAAATGATGGGAAGCCTAGTAGAAAAAAAATTGCCCTACGAATCTATTTCCAAAGATCACTATGAAGATTGTGCATACAAGGTTAGATCTGAACTTACCAATAAACGAGTTGTAGCGGAAGAAGAGTTGGTGAAGATCATCTCAAAGTCCCTCGATCCGTCCCAAGAACAGTTCCCTGGAACAAGAATCAAACGTACGACCCCTCAGTGAATTGCACACTTACAACACCATTGATCCGATAGCGCTTCGTTATCCAGAGCTAGACGATGCCGGAGTAGAAGAGAAGGGAGGAACAGCCCTTCAGGAGGGATCAACTATTGTGGAGAAAAAGAGAGAGAAGGGGGAAGCCCTTGCGTCTGAAGAGGTACGTCTTTGGAGGGGCTGCCTCCGCCCCCCGCTGATGTTTGTTGATTGTTGTACTTTGCCCGTTTGCTTTATTTATAATAATTCCGGCGTATGACTTTTCTCTAAAAAAGTCAATTTTGTACAAAGAAGAAGAGTATGAGATCACGCGGCTCCTCCAGCAAAGGCAATGAGAAAACTTGTTGTGCGGATTTGAGGCCGCCTTTTAGCTCCAAGCGGCGCTCAGATTAGATAGCTACCGTGTCAGAGGCGGAGACGACATGGAATGACAGCTAACGATGGCGTGGCAGACGGAGGAGAGGCAAGGATGGGAGGAGAGTCGGACAGCTGGAGCCCGACGCATGTGAGGGAACGGCGGAAGTTGAAGGAACTACTAGAGATATCTGCCCTCGATTTAAATTGGATGGCTCAAGAAAATCAACTTACACAAAAAAAAAAGGCGATTGTACACAGCAATCCCTTAATTATAGAAGAAATTTGTCTTGTGCGACAAGGAAATAATCACGAGCAGCCAGTCCCTTAATTCCCGGTTATGTACTAAACAGTACTATCTCCGTCGATCTATTATGGGTGCAACCAATTCGTTCCTACTCCTACAATTTAATTGCGATCGCGAGCAGGTAGGCAGTCCATTAGCGGGAGATCGACATGCCGTGGCCGTGGGAGAGTAGTACCGCGGCCCTGGTGGACGCGCGCCACGCGACGACGCTAACGGTGACCAGATCGAACACCTCGCGGGGCGACGGGTTCGCCGTGACGGACGCCGGCGGCGGAGCGGCCGTGTTGCAGGTGGAGACCTCCTACTTCGGCCGCGACCGCGATCTGCGTTCGCTCCTCTTCCTAGGCGCCGCCTCGCACCGCCCCTTGCTCCTTGTCGAGGAGTCCCCGTCTCTGTTCAGAGCGGGCCGGCGGTGGGAGGCATTGAGGGGGCGGTGCGCCGGCCAGGCGGACCGGCTCTTCCTTGCCGTGGACAGGGCGCGTTTTTTCTTCGAGCTGACGATCAACGTCGACGTGTTCCTGGACGGCAAATCCTCCGGCGAGGGGGAGCCTGATTTGGCCGTCCAGAGCAGCGACTACGGCAATGCGACGACCGTCTCCCGCCGTGGCGCCGCCATCGCGCAGATCGACAAGAAGAGGAGCACCTTTTGGGCGGAGCTTGCTGGAGAGCGCACGTACAATGTCAGGGTCAACCCGGGCGTCGACCAAGTGTTGGTCCTGGCACTCACCGTGGTTCTGGACCAGATGCATAATCCTGATTATGGATCACGCTGTTCATGCGGACGTACAAGATAACGTTTTTTTTTTATCTTTGTCATGTCTTTATCGAAGTTTCAAATAGCGGCAGCCTATTTTTTTTGGGTTAAATTTGGTGCTAAATACCGCTAAAACCGTCAAATTGTATATGATGCTGATGTCCCTCCAAATATTCAGAACTTTGGCTTTAATTAGGGGCTATAATTCACGTAACTGGAGAACTCCTGAAGAAAGGGTGGCTCGGGCTTACTTGGTTCTACTAGTAAGGGTGCACGTGCGATGCACGTATTATCATGTGAGCACAATCAGCATTCATCCTAGGAAAAAATATATCAGTAATATAAACAAAATATAAAGATGCACCAACAGAAGAGAGGCAATGAAGATTTTTAACAATGTTGTAACACAAAAAGTTTACTCGGACTAAAACTCTAGTGAACATATTGGAGAATCCTGGTATTCAAGTTTTTTCCTATCAAATACGTAATGCTACAAATAACACTGGAAACATTTTCCGAGTGGGGTGTATCATTCATCATAATCAAAAGATACTATGCATAACATTAACTCATTTAGTTGTCTAGATGACCAGATTAAATTGTAAGCATTATGTGGTTCTTATTTCAGTGAAAATGAATTTTGTTGAATAATTGAATAATAAACTTAACTGGTATAAACGAACTATACTATGGGTTGCATAAATTTGTTCTAGAAGATAAGAATAAAATACGTGCAATAACTCACTAAAAATCTTCTCAGGTTTTTGCTATTTTTGGCATAGCTGTTTCAGTAACAGAGTAATAATGGGGCATGGTGCAACTCAACTCACGTGAGCTAGATTGACACACTTTTGCTACAGCTGATCTGCAAAGCAATGGATGGGATGAAATTCATGACAACATCCTGCAATCATGGGAAAAAAATCCTTAACCATGGAAGCTGATTGATAATGCAGACAAAAGAAACAAAGTTGCATGATACTACCTTTTTAAAAGGAAAAAAATCATTGTGAAGTATTCTTGCTCCATGGTTGTAATGGGGAAAAAAATCATTGTGAAGTATTCTTGCTCCATGGGTGGGGTGGATGATTTGTGATTTGTGAATGCCACGTGTCATCCATCAGGATGGGTCTCACCTGCTAATCCGTGAGACCTGGTCTCATAGAATTTTTTTCCTTGTAATGGGATATGAAAAGCTTGTTTATGGTTAACTCCATGTCAACATGAGGCCAGCCTGTAAGAGCATCTCCAGCCGCACCCCCAACAAGGCCCCCCGGGCATTTTTTCGGCCGCCGGTGCCAAAAAATCGGTCCAGTCGCGCCCTCAGGGGCCCATTTTTCGCTGACTCGGGCCGAAATTGGCGTCGGGGGACCCAACCCGAACCCGGCGCGCTGGGGGTCGCTCGGGGGCGCCGGGCGAATCTTTTATGGCGCGAAAGCGCCGTGGGCCAGCCGCGTCAGCGACTCGACTCCCTTCTCGCCGCTTCGTCGTCCTCATCACCTCGTCTCCCGAGGCGAATCAATGCGAAAGCTGCGCGCGCTGTCGCGCCGGTCAACCTCCATTGATGCCTCACGGGCGGCGCAGTGAAGTCCGGGTGACGCGCGTCCCCTCGGCCGCCACGTCTCCCGCCACACGTAACGCGCCGGCCAGCCTACCGCGCGGCGCTTCCGCCTATATAAGCCGAGAACGAGCGCGCCGGAGATATGCACATACACTACACCGCCGACGCGCCCACTTCTCCCTTTTCCTCCTCTCGCCGTCTCCAGCTCAGAAGGATGGCCGAGCACTTCCTAGGCGACGGCGCGGCGGCGAATGGTTTTGGCCGCCGCCATCTGCACGAGGACAAGGCTCGCCTCCTCTTCGAGGCCGAGTACCCGGCCCCGTCGGACATGCGGGTGCCCGGGTCGTGGAGGATCAGCGCCGGCGGCGTGCCGGTGCCACCACCGCCCACCGGGGCGGCGCATCATGCGGAGATCGCACGCATCCGCGTGTCCCTGCCGCGGGCGGCGAGGGAAGGCCCGCGGTACACCCCCAACAGCCCGCTTTGGGAGCCCTATTTCCGTCGCCGACACGCCGAGCAGCTCGAGGTGACGAACGGCGTAGTGCCCTCCGGCAGGCTCAACTCCGAGGGCCGGTGCCGGTGGTGGGGTGTACCCGGCCGCACGTTGGAGGCCGTCCTCGAGTACATCGAGGGCGGCAACACGCCGCGCCTCGAGTACCCCACTCCCCCGACCTTCTCACACCGCCGTGGGAGCTCCTGGATGCCGAGGCGTATGGAGCGGCCCGGCGCGTCCTCCTCCTCGTCCGGCCGCTTCGTCGGGCTCTCCCTGCCTCCGCCCTGTCAAGCCGGAGCCCCAGGACACGCCGGTCAGCGCGCGCACCCGCAGCTCCTCTGGCTTTCGAATCAGCGACTCCACCCCCCCCCCATCTGGCCGCTTCGTCGTCGTCGAGCCCAAGCCGGAGCCCAGCCTTCCCCCGGAGTACGAGGAGATAGCCCGGCGCGGCTTCTCCAACGAGGACGCCCTGCAATGGGCGCGGGACGACTACCTCCATGACGAGATGGTCCGGCAGCGCCGGGCCCTAGAGGATATCGAAGCCTGCAAGCGCGGGCGCGAGGACGAGCACGGCGTCGTCATCCTCGACAGCGACAACGAGGAGGCCGCCCCCGGACCGTCCAACCCGCCGCGCCAACCGGGGGAGGGATGCAGCAGGGACGGCGGCGGCGAAGGCGGCAGCGACGATGACGACAACGACGATGGCGGCGGCAACTACACGCAGTTCTACAGCCTCCTGGGCATGTAGAACTGCGAGGGCGGGCGGCGGGGAGCGGCGAGGCGGACTGCGAGGAGCGGCGATGGAGACGGCGAGTGGCGGCCCCTAGTAGTTTTTTTTTAAATATGTTTAAGTTTGAACGAACTCGCCGTGTTTAGATTTTTCAAAATAACATGGGCGCCGCGACTGGGGGGGCATCACGCCCCCAGGGCGCGGGTTAGCGCCGGTGCGCCCCCAGGGGGCGATTTTTAGCCCCTCCTGGGGCCAACGGCTGAAGATGCTCTAATGTTGATTATACCTGGTTATAAATAGATAGAATCTTAATTGCAATAGGTCCATGTTGATTTGTGCACATTGCACAATAACTGCGTGTACACTCGGGTCACCATGGCCACTCGGGTCATCAATGCTTCTTTTAAGTATCTTAGCTCCGACCACTGTATTTTTTCATATCCAAATCCTTGCTTGCGTGGATGGTGAGAAGATGCCATATGCTTTCTTGTAGCAAACATTTGCTTGCGTGGATGGTGAGAAGCAGAAGGCTATCAAAGGCATCGTGAAGTCTGCCCGAAAGATACTCTCTGACACCGAGCACACGCCGCGGTACAAAGCCGTGATGCAGTGTCAGCCGCTGGACTCGAAGGGAGAGAAGATGACAAGGAAGACTGCTTGCCAGACCAACTTGTCGCGAGAAGAATACCTGTCAGTGGTAAGTGACTACATCGGTTGCTCATACTTTGATTCATCCCTCTTGTTCCTCAATTATTCGATTTTGTCTGACTAGGTGAAGGAACCCTGGATGAAGGACGATTGTTGGGAGGCCCTGGTTGACATGTGGTGTGACCCAGCATGGCAGGCGCAGCATGTGGAGAAGGGAAATGAACGAGCCAAAATGCCAGGCCCGGCTCATGTCCAGGGGAGCCGAAACCTAACCGCTCTCAAGCAACACATGGTATGTGGATTAAGATGTTAACTTTTTTGCACGGTGCATCTTGGTTCATTCAACTTGATGGTTAATTTTGCAGGAGGCGAAGGTTGGTCGACCGGTCCACATCTTGGAAGCCTGGAAAGAAGGCCACAAGGGGAAGGATGGCGTTGAGTTCTGCAGCGAGTCGGCGGAGGAGAAGTGGGGGACCTTCAACGAGGTCTTCCAGGAGGTGCACGGGGAGGAAGCCGAACCTACGTCCAAACCCCTTGACCCTGAGCTTCTCATCATTGCTGGCGAGGGGAAGGGCCATGGCCGCCACCTCCTTTGCAACAGGGCGATCTCCACCACCGGGCACTGCAAGCTGCACGAGATACGCGCGTCGAGCACCAGCTCAACTCCGTCCATACGGAGTCGCCCAACCGCCGCATCACGTGAGATAGCGTGTCTCAAGGTTAGCATCCTAACCTTTTATTTATGTCCATGCCTTGAAATAGCACCGTTCCAACCTATATGAGCCTAATGCCATGTTACAGGATTTAATGGCGCAGCGGGCTGTTGAAGAGGAGCAAAGGCGGAAGGCTGAGGAGGAGTCCAGAGAGAAGGAACGGGCAGACACTAACAATAGGTTGAAGATGCTTGAGGATCAACTACAGGTAGAACATTATCTAAACTAGAGTAGAAGATTCATTACATAGGGACGAACCACCCTCACGTGACTCTACTCTTATAGGTTTTTATGCAATCTCGAAGCAGTGCAAGTGATGCCCCTCCTCCTCCTCCGGAATGTTAACCCGATGGCCTCTCCTCCTCAAGATGATCTATATATGAACAAGTGTCTATTGTGACGTGCACGTGTTTTGCAAGTAGTGACAATATGTATGAATTTGCGACTTGTGTGTGATGTCTACTAGGATAATACATTCGACTTGTGTGTGACAATATGTGGACTATCCCTAATTATGCATATATATATATATATGGACTAGATCAAGTTATGCCTATATATGATCAAATTATGCCTATATATGTGTGGACTAGCTCAAAATGCACTGTAGTGGTTTTTATCTGTAGGGATCAGAAAAGAAATAGATTGACAGCAGAATGGATGGGAAAGATTTCCGAGAGCTACACTCGAAAAAAGGCAGACTACCGAGAGCAACTCTCGGAAATATGGTCGTCTGGGACACTACTGTTGTGCCACAACTTTTCCGAGAGAAGCTCTCGTAAAAGAAGGAGAGCATTGCCGAGCCTAGCTCTTGGCAAAGCTATATAAACTGTCAGCTCCCATGAAGGATTGCCGAGAGCCACTCTCGGCAAGCATATCGTCATTTTTTTTACTG